AGTCTCTGTGCCAGTCAGGCAGTGTGCCAGTCTCTTTGCCAGTCTCTGTGCTAGAGAGGCAGCGAGTCAGTGTACCAGTCAGGCAGCGTGCCAGCGCGCCAGTCTCTGCCAGTCTCCCGGTTTCGCCCTCACCTCTCTGTGCGCTCCCCTCATCAGCTGTCTCTTCAGCCCCTCGTAGATCATGAACTGCACGGCGGGGTTCAGCACCAGCAGCAGAGACGGCAGCGTCCCGTTCCACAGCGCCAGCACCCCCTCCGCCCGCACGATCTGCCTGAAGGCGTCTGCAGCGCCAGGGACACGGGCAGCAGAAAGACAGGAGAGGGACAGGCTCAGCTCTTCTGGGCTCAGTGGGGAGAGGTCGGCCGACCGTCTGAGATGACCATACAGGCCAGTGCGTTGAGGCCACTACACACGGGGCCTGTTCCAAAACCCAGGGCTGTCCAGTCCTGGTCCTGGAGGGGTCAGTCAATGTGTCTGCAGCAGGGCTGTCCAGTCCTGGTCCTGGAGGGGTCAGTCAGTGTGTCTGCAGCAGGGCTGTCCAGTCCGGGTCCTGGAGGGGTCAGTGTGTCTGCAGCAGGACTGACCAATCCTGACCCTGCAGGTGCTGCTATTTAAACCAGACCAGCAGACTCACTGACCAGCCATCCAGGATGAGGACTGGTCAGTGGTCAGTCCAGATTTAAACCAAAGCACACCAGTCAGTCATTTGTGAGAAATGCAGCCAAAATTGTGCATGTATTCACTTCACTGCAGCCCCCCGTACTGCTGGAGGAGTTTGTGACTGGCAGTGTTGGGGTCTCATTGTGTTAGCGATTCAACTGCCCCTCCATCGCAGTGATAACTCTTACCCAGTATACCAGCGTAGTGTGTGGGCCTGATGTCAGTATTGTGGAACTTCGCCCCCTGCAGTTTGAGCCTGGTATTGACCACCCAGAGTGGCGTAGTCATCAGCACATTCACCACACCTGCAGAGTGGATAAAGGTCAGAGGTCAAGGGCTGAGAGCATGCACCTCTTTCTCCAGCTGGGGTTAATCAGGTCAAGCAGCAATCTAATCCCCCCTCTGAAACACACGCACCCCAGGAACCCTATAACTGTTCCCTATAGGTCTGCTATGTGCTGTGCATGTTGGAGGCAGGCAGGGGGCGCCACACCTGCCACAATGCCCATGAGCAGGTCTCTGCCCGGCGTGGAGCGCTGGCCTTTGACCCAGACGACCTTCAGGCTGTTGAAGCAGTAGAAATAGACGAAGTTGGAACAGCAGAGGCTGCAGATGACCGGGAACCAGCCTCTGTAGGGCGCCAGGCTGGGAAACACACAAAACAAACACGTCGTTTTCACCTCCCAGACACCCTGCAAAAACAGACACTTCCTCTTCCTGCCATGACCTGCCCGCGGTCCAGTCGGCCAATCAGCTGTCGCGTCACCTACAAGTCTCCGACGGTCTGCACAAAGACACTTCCTGTCCCGCCAGGTACCCAGTCCAGCCAGCCAATCAGCTGTCGCATCACCTACGAGTCTCTGACAGCCTGACAAAGACACTT